TGGCGACGAGGTGGGGCGCAGACCCCGCCCACAAGATCAGCGAGCTATGTAATTTTGAGGGATCAGTTTTGCTTTTTTCATTTTTAGTGGACTAATTACCACATTTTCGCTTGGATAAACCCTACCTATTCATTCACAGAATATGTCTCTGAACGAGGTGCAATTTCCCTACCGAAAATTGTAAAATATGGTTCATTTTGAGGAATATTTTTGAAAATCGTCTCGTCCTCAAAGAGTTTGATTTCAGCTGAAGTTTGGCGACGCCAGGGAAGAGGTAAAAAGGCTGACAACCCAGCTCTCGTTCCGTGACACGCAAATCGCTCAACTCTCCAATTTGTGCACAATGCTGCAGATTGAGATCAGCAACTACGCCGAGGCTCCTCCAAAACTATCAGGGCAGCAACAGACCGCTGAGTCAAAGAAGGAGCAGGAAATCCAAACATTGAATGGCTCTCAGCCTGACGTTGTTCCTAAGCAGCCTGCTCCAGAGAAAAAGAAACCTAGAAAGACCTCGAAAAGTCGGTCCAGTACAGCAGTCGCCGTTGAAACCGAGCAGTCATCACTGCGTCGCCGTGAGCTCACAGAAGATGTTTGGGAACAGCAGGCCATCCTGATAGCGAGCCTTTACTCGGAACTGATGTTCATTTTGGAGGTAAAGCTATCTATCGAAAATTTTAAACGATTCCTCTCAGCGATATTTCCTCTTTAGGAACAAGAAATGAAACAGAAACAGATGTCTGAAATGGAAACGGCACTCGCAGGCGGGCGACGGGCACTTGATGACGCGAAGTCACAACTGAAGGTTTGAGCGATATTTACGATTTTCCGTACGGTTTTCTCAGCAAATCTCACTGGCAACGAATTGGTTGTTTGAACTATACTGTTTTCCCTTTTCCTTTCCTTTTCGCTTTCGTACGAAAGGACCACATTTCCATAAGTTTTGCGAAGCAGAAGGGAGAAACTGTCAGAAGAACTTGTCATATTTGCCGTTGTTTGTATTCATATATCAGAATCAGCGTTTAGCTTCTCCTCTTTATGCCCCGCGTAGGTCTTCACTTTAATTTATAGTTATAGGAACCTTTGAAAGCGGAGATTAGAGGGCAGCCCACTAGGATCAATGTCAAAGTGGTTACTGGTGCAGGGATGAAAAAAATGAGAAACTCCCCAGAACCCGAAAAATGGAACCGCTCCTTTGCCCGTTGGTGGATGGGATAGTGGTTCAAGGGCCTTGAATGTTGAAGAGCAGTTGAAGGCAAGTCCCGGGTAAGACCACTGGAGTCATCCCTTCGGTGGGGAGGAAGCTGTTTGTAAAGATAGTGGAGCATCATTGCCACCACTCCAAAGAGCGCAACAAGGGCGCTAGGGTCTTTTAAATGTTCCTCAGTACCCGTAATTGTCTGGAGACAGCCCCTCATCAGTACCCTCTCGTACAGCGTGTGTTCTGTCTTCTCTGTTCGCCCTGGCTCTCCGTCGTACCACACTCGCGCTTACAGAATGTTTAAACTCCTAATTTCAGTGTTTTCGTTCCTTTTGCTTTCTTTCTCCTTCAGGCTACTCAGTACCTCCACCTCCATTTTCCATGAGACGCTCCTACGGGTCAATTTTATCCTGGGGATTGCCACTGAAGCGAAATGACCCATTCTCATGGCTCTCAGTCTTGAGCGCCAGAATATCCTTCACGACGCTTGTGGCACCGCTAACGCCGCTTCGCCGCTGCATGCATGGTAAACCATCTGATGGGCAATTACCACTGAAGGGGGTGGTACTTGGGTTTTTTGGGAGAGTGGTGGGTATTTGGTGGAATTGGCATTGAATTTTCGGGAGAGACCTGGAAAAGCAGATTTCTAGAAGTATTCCGAGAAATATTCAAATATTTCAAAAGGAAAAAATTCGAAAATTTTGCCGTTTCAAACGACGTACATATAGACCTGGCAGACCTTGTGTTCGATACCTTTATTTCTAGCTTTATTGCAAAACTTCAGACAGTATTCACAAAAATATGGTTGTTATAATTCCTGAATTTCTGGACTTTCTCCGTCGGAATTGAAACTTTCTGTTATGGAAACGCTTCTTCGACACCGTTGCACACTTCTGAAAAATTACCAAATCAAATTATGCTTTTAATCAAAAAGCTTTAAGGTAGCCACGTACTTCACTATAGACCGTCTTCGGTGTTGATAACCAGATCGCCGGATTGCGTCCCTTATTTCGTCTTCCACCTCTATAATTCATATTTGCAATTTCAAATATGAAAGTAATAAAAAACTTTGGACCTAAAGGCATAGTCCGGGATCGAATTGATGCGTTATTGCGCTTGCAAATGAAGTGTAGATGTAAGCAGTGAAGAAAACATGATGAGATGATAGATGAGGGACAAAAATAAAACACTGTCAAGTGGCGAAACACCTCTGGTTTGTGGGCGGGATCAATGGTGTTGGGCGGGGCCAATGCTGCGTCCTAAAGCTTTGGCACTTCGCGCTTATTAAATCATCCCGAACTTTGTGTATGTGCTTTCCGCTTGCGTACCTTAAGCTAGAAGCTTAATTTCAGAAATCAAGGACTTTGCCTTTGAAAATATTCAAGTAGGGGGGGGGACAAGGTACCAACTCGGCTTCCATTTCACACGCGTCCTTAAACGCAAGTAAAACTGGGTGAATTACTCTCTAGCTGTGCTCTTCAGAAACGGAAAAGTGTTGAACGAACATCTTTTGCAAAAAGAAGAAAATTTGAAGAAAAAAATTGAAAAAACGTGTAATATGTAAAATATTATAGAAATTACATGCAAATCAAAGAAGGCAAAAAGAAGAAAATTCGCGAAGAAATAAATGAGAAAAAAGCGTACTTGCCAAGCACTAACCTTTGTCTGCATCATAATGTCCAGCCATCAACTCTTTGAATATCTCCAAAGGTTTTTTCTTGGCATATTTCGGGTCTTTTCTGACGCATTGAAGTTTCTTCAAAGAGGAACGAAAAATAATAGGGCTTTTTTCACAGAAAATAGAAAATCGCACCTTATAAACAATCCTGTTTGCTTTTTCTTCTGCATATTTTCCTGGGCGACATTCGTGTCCAATACTACATGGATCGACCAGAAACTCGTTTCCAACAACCTGACAAATGCGAACTTGGAAGAGAACCATTATCAAAAGCAGAATCAACCGTCGTGTGCTTCAGTGAAGGTTTCGCCAAGACCATCGAAAACCCGTCAAATACAACCCCTCTTCACGCCCCCGTGCGCCTTTTGTGAGGGGTAGTTAACCATGCTCAACCCAAGGAAGTGACCCTTGTGCGAACGGACAGTTGACCCTGTTCAAAAGCCCTTGGCAGGGTGAATATCGCTTGAGGATTCCTCAACGGCACGTCGAGGATTCTCTGCCCGATCAGACACGATCTCTCGCGCGGACATTCACACTCGCCATGCCGTGCCGTCTGTGCTCTCCGCGCGGATGTTCACTCTCGGCACTACTCTCGCATGGTAGAGAGCTATGGTCGAGGAAATCCTCGACCGTTATTCACCCTGCTTGGAACTCACTTTGATTGTCACCGTACGTGTTTTAGTGCTTGTGTTGTGGCAGTTCTGGCAACGATACACCTTTTCGAGCTTGTTGACGTGCATTCGAGCAAAAGTGTAGGAATGGCGAGTTCCTGGAATTCTGTAGATCAACACATCATGTTTACCTCTCTTGCT